AGAAAGAAAGAAAGAAAGAAAGAAAGAAAGAAAGAAAGAAAGAAAGAAAGAAAGAAAGAAAGAAAGAAAGAAAGAAAGAATCAGTGTATTTCAAGAAATCTTGTAGCACAAATAACATTTATGTAAACAAGTTTCAAAATGTACTACAAATTACAATTCTTTTCTTTTTTTAGCTGCCAGCAGAAGATGAAATATTGTTACAAAAATTAAGAGAAGAATCTCGAGCAGTCTTTTTGCAGAGAAAAAGTAGAGAATTGCTAGACAATGAAGAACTACAGGTATGAAAAAAAATGAAAATATGACTTAATTTCAGATCACTGTTTTAAAAACTTTACTATCCACTAAGTGGTATTTCTCTCATCATTTTAAATCTCCTTTTTAAGAATTTGTGGTTTCTTTTGGATGAACATCAGACACCACCTATGATGGGGGATGAAGCAATGATTAATTATGAAAACTTCTTGAAAGTTGGTGAAAAAGCTGGATCCAAGTGCAAGTAAGACCTTTATTTCGAAAGTTACAGGGGCTTGATTTGCCTAGTGTTTTCGTTACACCTAGGTCAATATTCAGATCTGAGATTGGATGGAGGAAGGGAAAATGTATTGAATGTTTATTAATGAATAGAAGACAAAAGTACATGTGAATGCTGACTGAAGCTTCTTCAGCAGAACTCTGCTAAAAAGGTGAACAATTTAAGTGATTATAAATATTAGTTGTTGAATGTCATGAAGTTTTATGATGAAAGGAAAGCATGCATTAGAATATACAAGATAATAATGAATGGTTTGGTTGAGCATTCTGGATTACCTTATATATTAATGGATACATGTTTAAGGAGCATTTATAATAATGTTTATTGTGTGTTTGTCATGATTGTGCATGTACTTGTACTCAGCCAATATTTGTTAGCTGAGAATTTGAATACAGGTAGTCCTTGGTTTACTACAGCAGTTAGGATTAGAATTTCCATCTAAGCAATGCAATTATAAAGTGTGGTACCATGTGATCACTTCACTTAATAATGGCTATCCCTGAAGTCCCCATTGTCATATAAGTGAAAATTGTGGTTTATTAAGCAAGTGTCTCCCCGGAAGTTCCTGCCAGTTTCTAACAACCAAAGTCAGTTGGAAAGGTGGTAGGAAGTTGAAAATCTCAGGTGATTCACAGGCAGATAAGTGGCTGCTACAGGGTGAGAGAAGAAGCAGAGAGATCCACAGGTGGCTGAGAAGACACAACACAAGCATGGTGGCTTCGGATGGCTGCTAACAGGCGAATAAGGGTGGGAGAGGGTGCATGAGTGGCTGGGAAGACACTGAAGTCAAGCCATGCTCAGGCAATGTATATGATGGTGCACAGGCAGTAGACAGGCACTATTTGACCACAGAAAGACTTGTGGAGAACATGTGAGTGATGGGGCAGTGCAAGCTCAGCAAGGCTGGAGAGTCTGGTGGCACAGTGGTTAAGAGTGTAGTATTGCAGGCTAACTCTCTCCACAGTCTGGAGTTTGACCCTGAGACTGTCAGGATCAAGTTGGTAAAATGAACACCAAAATTGTTGGGGGAAATATGATGACTCTGTAAACTGCTTAGAGAGGGCTATAAAGCACCGGGAAGTGAACTATAAGTCTAAGTGCTATTACTATTGCTAAGCTTTGGGGACAGTGTGCAAAGGTGCCTGGGTAGAGAAGACTTACTCAAGCAACTTGCAACTTTGCTGATTTCCTTCCTTGTGGGAAGCCAACAGGGAAGGTTACAGATTGTGATCATGTGAGGGACACTATAACCATCACAAGTGCAAGGCAGTTGCTAAGCATCCAGATTGTGACCATGTGACCACAGGAGTAATGGGATAGCCAGAACTTGAGGACTGGTCATGACTGCTAGTCATTCACTGTTGTCATAATTTGAATGGTTGCTAAATACAAGGGCTACTTGTAATTAGCCGTGAATATTTGATAGATTGTATTATCTATTTAGAAAAATGGATTTGAATATTTATCAAAGATAGGAAAATAGGATGAACAATTTCAAGTTACATAAATTGTGAGAAAAAAATGTAAAAAGTACAGATAGATGGTTCTAAGAAGTTAAATGTGTTGATAAATTTTCCCCTCAAGTTGTATCAGAATATCAGAAATACATTCAGAATACAAATTTCTGTTACTTTATTTATTCCATTATTTATTACATAACTGACATTCAATCTGCAAAGACATTAATCCTCAAAATTTCAGTACTAAATTTATGTTTTACAGGCAATTCTTCACAGCTAAAATTTTTGCTAAATTACTTCATAATGATCCCTATGGAAGAATATCTATCATGCAGTTTTTCAATTATGTAATGAGAAAAGGTGAGTCCTTTTGATCTATTGTAACAAGATCTATAATAATGATTATATTATTAGATTCTATAACGTAGAAGTGATTTGGAACTGCATTCTGTTTTAAACTGTGTGGAGAACCATTTTCCTAAAAGTGGGTGTGAATTGGATGAGTAGACCAAAATGAGTGGTAATCAGTATTGTCCATGTTTTTTCTATTTTAATCATAATCTAATATAATCATTACATTTATCATAATTATTAATCACATCATTATCTTATTATATTTCATTATTATCACTGCTAACTTGATACTGTTGTTCATTCACTAGGCTATTATTATAATAGCAAATTATAGTGACTATTTACACTTTCACTTTATTATTTATAATCCAATTAAATGTTGGAAAAAGATGATGATGACAGAAGCCAGCAAAAAAAAAAAATTGAATACAGGCTTGGTATGGGTAGAAGCTACAAGGAAAAATTCCAGAAAAAATATATCTCTGAGGACACATTAGAATGGGTCATTCTAAGTCCTCTCTTCTTACCTGCTCATGTGACCTAGGACAGAGTATATGCAATCTCCTTTTGCTTACTGGTAGAATATACATGCAAACATACTCAGAACCAACAAGAGAAGCGTAGAAACCCACCAACAAATACAACAGAGCTGTAGTTTCTTTTCTCTTGTCAGAAAATGTACGTGTGCCAGTGAGTTTCATGCATCAAATAATTAAATCTGCTTCTTTCAGCTGTTTCATGCTTTTTTTTTCTCCTACCCAATGGGTTAGGTTAGCATTATCAATGGTTGATAGCTGAGGGAGATGGATGCTTCCGAAATTTGAAAAATAAGTAAATAAATAAAGCTACTCTGCAATTATATGTACCCATGCCAGAATCACAACAATTGCTTAGTAAAAATCAATTATGACCTTAGTAGATAAAAAAAAATCAGATGTAGGATAGACATAAAAAAACAAAAGCCAAAAACATAAGAAGATCCCTCTTATGACTACTAAGAATGAAAAGATTGGAAGGTATTCTAAAACCTTCCATACTCTTCTTATCTTGCCTCATACATCTTCCAGTGATGAGAGTAATACTTCATATAGGACTAATTTTCTGTTTACAGATTGAGTTAAATTAACTGTAGTTTGTTGTACAGATCACAATGATAGGCTTGCATGTAATATATAACAACAAAATTATAATTTGTGAACCAGTCTTTTGAGTAACTTAAATATCTTAAGGAAAGTCAGGATGCTCATCAGTTAAGCACAGCAGAAATCATAGTGGCTCTCAGGAGATTTGTAAATTAAAACATAAGAATGCCAGATAATATTCAGTTCTCTGCAACTATATATACATACGGTATTTGAATTTGTAGAATTTGCTTTAACAGATTTTTGACTTTTTATTTGTAATTAATTTAAATAGGAAGTACCTAGTTTGCTGTTGTTGGAATACCTGTGAATGCCAATATCTATCTTATGTTCTTTCAATTTCTTACTATATCTTATTTTACTTGTATGGAAATCCATTGGGTATTTTTTAATCTGTTTCACAGTATGGCTGTACCAGACAAGAATAGGTCTCAGTTTATATGATGTGGCTGGACAAGGTTACCTCAGAGAATCAGTAAGTGAGGAATAATAATTAGTATAGTTATCTAATGTAACTGAAATGATTTCTGTTGTCTATCTTCATTCAAAAAGAGCAGTTAAAGGGAACATATTTAATAATCAGCTGTTTATATATAATCAAAAAGATTTCGAGTAAGCCATCAGGAGTACTGTAATTGTGACAGTATAAATTTGATTAACAAATAAAATCATATTGTAATATAATTGTTTATGGGAGAGTATTGTTCACATAGCATTAATTAATTTTTTTGTAATTAATTTATTTTTCTTATATGTATCCATTTATTCATAACTATGTTTTTACTTATACCTATTATCTTGTAAGCAATTGACAAAAATTATAGCCTGATATTTGTAATATGTGACCACTCTGCATTCCATTGACTGTAGAGTTAACTTAGCTTTTTTTGAACCAAACAGGATAACACTGCACTACAGCTCTCACAAATGGAGTCCTATATTGCCAGATATTTTTTACAATTACAAGTAGTCCTCAACTAACAACTACAATCAAATCCAAAGTTTCTGTTGCTAAGCGACACACTTGTTAATTGAGCTTTGCCCAATTTTATGACATTTCTCCTTGCAGTTGTTAAGTTTTTAACATGGCTGTTAAGTGAATCTGGCTTCCCCATTGACTTTGTGTTTGTCAGAAGGTCACAAAAGGTAATCAAATGACCCTGGGACACTGCAACTATCATAAACATGAACCAGTTGCCAAATGTCCATATCTTCATCACATGACCATAGGGATGCTGCAATGGTTGTAAGTTGAAAAAGGGTCTTAAGTCACTTTTTTCAGTGCCGCTGTAACTTCAATAGAGGGTCAATAGAAGACCATAAAGAGATGTTGCCAGGGGTGAGATTCTACCAGTTCGCACCTATTCGCTAGAACCGGTTGTTAACATTTGAAGCAGTTCGGAGAACTGGTTTTTTAGAAGAAATTACTGGCCTATTCCTATAAGGAAGGCAAGAAGGAAACATTCTGGTGTTGCTTACAGAAACTGCCTCTCCGTTAACCCTTATTATATTCTTGGCAGGACTAGACTTCCTGTCTCAGGAACGTCTTAGGAGTTTTTTTCCCCTCCTTTGCTGGTACTTGTGTGGAGTGACCATTCAAAGTTACAATGGCACTGAAAAAAGTGACTTATGACCATTTTTCACACTTACGACTGTTGCAGCATCCCCACAGTCATGAGAGGCCAGGCGAGGAGATGCGTGCCTTGATGTGAGTGATATTGAGTTGGCCACACCCAGCCAATAACATGATCACCAAGCCATGTCCACCCAGTCACATGACCACCAAGCCACGCCCACCAACTAAGCCATGCCAACAGAACCGGTTGTTAAAAAAATTGAATCCCACCCCTGGATGTTGCCAACCCTTCTTTAAATACAGAAACTATAAAAATACTTAAGGAAAAAAAAGTTCAGTCTGTTCCTTCTATAAACTATAGAACAAATGTAAAAAATTAAGATTTAATCATAATGACATCTGTGGTATAAATACACATTTTCTTGTTTAATTTTCTAGGATTTAGAAAATTATATTTTGGAACTCATTCCTACTTTGCCACAGTTGGATGGTTTAGAAAAATCCTTTTATTCATTTTATGTATGCACTGCTGTCAGAAAATTTTTCTTCTTTTTAGATCCTCTCAGAACTGGTAGGTTTAAATTACTCCTTTTAAAAAAAATTCAAATTCAGTAACATAATCCAAACTATACGCCTGTTTTGAATATATTATGGTTTGATATGATCCAGTCACCTTTCTTTTCTTCTATAACTATTAAGAAATAATTAAAAGATTGTTGTTAAGATTGCTGTTCAGTGATTAATTTTAAATCTAATTAATAATGCTAGATTGAAACTATCTTGCTTCAATAAATCATGATTATTGAAACTATGAAGACTAACTCGATTTCTCCAGATTAAGGCATTATTCTATTAAGGCACTATAGTAAAAATTGGAAACATAAGCTTCCAGTTTTTCTTGGCTGTATTAAGGTGTTCCTAATGAAATGAAGGCTCATAAATCTGAAAACCTATATCATTCGTAGGAAGAAAAATTTGATACTAATTTAGTTTTTGACTAAAACTTTCAACCAGGAATGGATTTATTTTAGTTAATTAGTCATGTATATTTTTGGTCTGATGAATGTTGTAGCAATATACCGGTAACAGCTAAATCATCATTGTCGGTTGAATTTATGCAGATCACAATTATGTTTTTCGTGTGTTAAAGCTGTCATTGATAAATGAAAATTTCCTTGTTCACATTTTTGTATTACCTTTGAGATGGCAAATTATAAATTGATGATGATGTTTGTGGGAAATAGTTGGACTGTTGTGCCTTCAGTACAGATATTTACAAGAATTTGATATGACACCCAAGCCTTCAGTTTTACCATTTGCTATCACAATAGCAGCTGTTTCACTTAGGAATGAGCTCTGCATGCAGACAGAGCTTGCTCTCTTATTGAAGTAAATGAAAATGAAAAAGTAAATGAAAAAGTAGTTATTTGCATAGGAATTGACTGGTTCAGGTTACACTGGCATAAACAGCATTTATAACTAGCAATGGAATAAACTATATTCAAGACAGTTCCTTCATCTGTGATACCTACTTGCAGTAGTTTTGACTCTGTAGATAATAGTAACATATGAAATTGTAATTGCTGTATTAATCCTTCAAGTAGGTCTCATTGGCATCTTTGTCCTAATTTCAGCAGCAATTCTGACTTATCCAAATATAACCATAGGTGTTCCCCATTCTGTTCAACACCTTTAGAAATAAAGAAACTGCATTAAAATTGGATAGACATTTACTATTCCCCTACCCCAGAAATCTAGTGGTGAATGGAATTATTTCCCCTCTGCTTAATGCATTGGAGGAATAATAGAGAATGCTTTAAAAGGAAACAGACATTAAAAATGAATAAACTAAATAAATTTTACCAATATTAGGGGCTCTTAATAATGAAAACAACATAATTTATTTCAATGACATAAATATTTTTCTTTCTTGTTAAAAATAAATATTTTGGTAAATATAATACATAGAAATATATTTTTATAGTATTTTAATCAATGTGAAGTGTCAATTATTTATTTATAACATTAATGTTAAAACATTTCTGCTTTTTCACAACCTGAACTAATAGGTCAAAATTTGATTTTTTTTCTTTTGAATTCCTTTCAGCATAATTTGGATGTTACCTTGCTTAAACCTAAAAATATCACAATCATTAACTAGTGAAAGAAGCATTATTTTTTTCTTTTCCAGGGAAAATAAAAATACAGGATATTTTAGCCTGCAGCTTCCTTGATGACTTATTAGAGGTAGACATTTTTAAAATATATTTTTGACTTTTGACTTGTCCTTTACATTTGTTGATAGTTAACTTAATATTTCCTTATCCATTCAGTTACGTGATGAAGAACTTTCTAAAGAAAGTCAAGAAACAAATTGGTTTTCTGCTCCTTCTGCTTTGAGGGTTTATGGTATGTTGCATGCATAAATAATTTTGGACTACATTTTTTACATGTACTTTCCATTTACATGGCACAAAGAAGGGCCTCATAAATTACTAGTACTAATACTATTTACATTAGAATTAATGGTCGTTATTGTACCAAAACCGATGTAGTTAGCGGGAAAAATAGACAATTTCATCCATTTCCCAGAAGTTCTGATTTTTACTACATTTGTACCTTGCTCAGCCTTCTGCTACTACTATTTATCTTTGGGAATGAGCCCTATTCTGAAATTTTTTCCCCTTGACATACAGATTGATATATATCCTTTTCCATGATTTAAATACTACATTGAGAGTGAAGATTCATTCTACAAGCTTGTGGGTTTATTTCCAAATATTTTGTTACCAGACTCAGCAACATTTTCAGCAGAGTTTAGGGGATATTAGTGTCACCCCTAAACTCTGCTAAAGATGTTACCCAACCTGGTAATGAAACGTTTGAAAACCAACCTACAAGTTTGGAAAATGAACCGTGACCCTCATCCAACACCCGAGCTACAGATATTTGCCACTATTGCAAAAATAACATTCTAAGTAGAACATTTATTTTAATTACAAAAATTATCTCCAACAATAACAGTTGTACTTTTTCCTATCTTAACATATCTTTTTAAACTTAATTCCACATCCTAATATAATTATTTTGAAATAACATACTGTACAAATTTGTCAGTGATTTTCAAATATTTTACCTTCTTTTTTCAATCTTAAAACCTGCTTTATTCATCAATTATTTGATCTTATATTTTCATATTTTTAACATTTTTCTTCTGTTTAGTAATCTTAGAACCTGGTAATGCATCAAACTCTTTTAATGTAACCATTGATGATGCAAAATTCTTTAAAGAATCATCCAAAACCAATACCAGTTCATCAACAAAAGCCCTTAACTTATAAGTCTCTTTTTTTAGTTTTTACATTCACATTCCCACAATTTTGACCTGTTTATTTATTTATATCCTTCCTTTACTTTTTTTTACAAATAACTTAAGATAGCGAACATATCCAACACATCTTCCTCTTCCTATTTCCCCCACAACAACAGAAAGCATTTGCTCCATTTATATTCCATATTAAACATTTCTAATCCATAATCAGGCCAGAAGTTTAGAAAAGTTAATACCAGTAGCAACTTACTCAGTATCATTCTTTTCTAATTTCCAATACATCCGTTGTAATTTTTGTTCAGTTTCTCTCTTTTCATGGAGCAGCCAGGAGTCCTTGAATTCTATCTACACTCACGACTGTGGTGCAGTCTGTCTGAACAGTATGGTCAGCCATCCTTATTTCTTAATCACTTTTAGAAATAATTTATCTGCAGGATGCCAAGGGCTGAGCAGCACCTTTCCCTCACTAGGCAAAGATAAGATTATTTTCTGTGAGTTAAACCTCTCAGGATTGTAAAGTGAAAAGAAACTTAGAAGATTTAAAGATTCAAGAATTTTCTGTGAAAAACTTTAAGAAGACTTAAGAAAGTGTTTAAATTGATAAAAGGGTCAGTTACTTTCTTATTTTTGTATTTTTCTCACTTTTGTCTTTATGCCAAACACTTTTGTCATTTTTGTCAAATTTGAACTAAGCTACTTAAAGAAATCAGACCTTTGTAGAAATCCTAGCTTTTTCTTTATTGTTAAAGAATGCATCTAGCTGTCAGTTTCTACAAAACAAAAGGTATGCTTCAGGTAGTCATCTGTAGTCCTCAATTTATTGTTATTTATTTATTTATTTGATTTGTCAATCGCTTACAAGATACAGGTATAAGAATAAACATAGTTTTGAATACATGAGATAGATACTTATAAGAAAAATAAAAAGAAACAATAGGACAGGGACGGTAGGCATGATTGGTGCGCTTATGCACACCCCCTACAGGCCTCTTAGGAAGGGGGTGAGGTCAATAGTAGACAGTCTAAGGTTAAAGTTTTTGGGGTTTGGGGAAGAAACCACAGAGTCAGGTAGACCATTCCAAACATTGACCACTCTGTTGCTGAAGTCGTATTTTCTGCAGTTAAGTTTGGTGCAGTTAACCTTGAGTTTGTATCTATTGTGTGCTCTTGTATTGTTATGATTGAAGCTGAAGTATTCATTTGCAGGTAGGACATTGCAATGTATGATTTTATATACTATATTTAGATCGGACTGGAGGTGGCATAGTTCTAGGTTTTCTAGGTCTAGAGTTTCAAGTCTGGTGGCATAAGGTATTCTGCAATGAGTAGAGGAGTGGAGAACTCTCCTTGTGAAATATTTCTGGACTTTTTCAATTGTGTTAATACCAGATACATGATATGGGTTCCAGACTGATGAGCTGTATTCGCATATTGGTCTAGCAAATGTTTTGTATGCTCTAGTTAGTAGTGTAATATTACCAGAGAAGAAGCTATATAGGATTAGATTAACAACTCTTAATGCCTTTTTGGCTATGTAGTTACAGTGGGCTCTAGCACTTAGATCATTAGAGATGAGTACTCCAAGGTCCTTGACAGAGTTTGGATCCTCAACAAGGTCTTGACTATTTCGCTTGTATTTTATTTTCTAATTTTTTTTTTGCCAATATGTAAGACAGAGCATTTATTTGTTGAGATTTGAAGTTGCCATTTGTTTGACCATTCTGATACATAGTCACGGTCTTTTTGGAGGGTAGTCTTTTTGTCTGTGGTGTTGAATAGCTTTACATCATCAGCGAAGAGAACGCAGTTGCTCTTAATATGATCACAGAGGTCATTTATGTAGAGTATGAAGAGAGTTGGTCCTAGAACACTGCCTTGGGGGACACCACTATTGACAGGTACAGAATTTGATAGGACGCTCCCAATTTTGACCATTTGTTGTCTGTTTGACAGGAATCCTTCTATCCAGTTATGTAGGTGTCCAGAGATACCATAAGATTTTAGTTTTAGGAGTAGTTTGTCGTGTACCACTGAATCAAAGGCTTTACAGAAGTCTATGTAGATTGCGTCTATTGCTTTGCCCTGATCAAGTTGTGTAGTCCATATGTTTTTGCAGTGTAAGAGTTGCAGATTACAGGATAGTTTTTTTCTGAAACCAAATTGTTTATTAGAGAGTAGGTTGTTTGTCTCTAAGTGGAGGATAATGGATTGGTTAATAATTGATTCCATGACTTTACAAGTGACACAGCATAAAGAGATTGGTCTGTAATTTTCAACGAGGCTGGGGTCTCCCTTTTTGAAGATGGGGATGACTGTGGCTTGCGACCATAGTTTTGGTAAGGAGCTGGTCCTGAAAGATTTTTCAAAGATTATGCTTAGAGGTTCGGCTATGGCAGTGGATAGCTTTTTAAAGAAGTATGCACATATTCAGTCCGGTCCAATAGATAGGGATGATTTTAGATTGCGCAGTGCTTTTTCAACAATGTCTTCTGTAAAATCGATATGTATTAGATCATTGTAGTTGTCTGTGGTTCGACTAGGAAGTACTAAGCTTGATCCATTGCTGTTTACAAACACAGCCAAATAATGTGTTAGAGGTTTGCTTTGATGGTGTCATCGTTGCAGTCTTTGCCATTAGGTCCTTTCAGGGGTGGCATGGACCTTGAGTCTTTTAGTTTGTTGTTTACAAAATTGTAGAAAGCACGAGTGGAATTTGTGCGTAGAAGGTTTTCCTCTTGTTTAATGTGATAATTAGTGCATTCAGTTTTTATCTGGTGGCATAGATTTTTGTATCGGCTTTTGAAGTTGGCAACATGACCAGATTTATTTTTTCGCCAAAGTGATCTCTTTTTGGATTGATCTCTTATTGTTATGGGTAATCTGTTTTTCCTGGTTTTGGGAGTTGTTATTGGTACATATAGTTTGATGCCTCTTTTGATTTCTAGTAAGAATATGTTGTAATGGTCTTTAGTCTCCTTTTATTTTATAATCCCCAAAGAAGGGATAGGCTGCTTTCAACTCAGCTCCTAAGCTAGTTGAAAAATCTTCCATTTCTGAAATTTATTCATTAGGAGTAGCCAACTGGAATGCTTTTGGGTTATCTCATGACTTCTTTTTGGTCCAGGGAGATTTTGCAGAGGCACATCCATCTTCCAGCCTGTGGTGGCTTCTCTACTTTCCTTTGAATATGTCAGCCTGACATAATTCCTTACCAGAAATTTTTATATAGTAATCTAATAAACCTTGAGGTTATGTCCACCAAACCTACTGTTAATTTTTCTTTGGATGCTATTGGTTCTACTTTGCATAAGTATAAACAAATCTTAATGGGAAGACTACCTGAATAGCTTAATGAGGGCTGAACATATTCAGTGAGTGCAAATAACCAGAGCAGATTAAAATGTGGTTGTACATAGAACATCTTGGAATGTAGCTTCTTGAACAGAACACAGCTTGCTGGCTAGGAGCTCTCACTGATAAATACCAGTGCTCCTACACCTTTTGTTTTATTACATGGGTTTCTAACATTCATTACAGATCTTTATAAACTTGTCAAAACAAAAATTCCTTTTCAGTTCATGTGTTGGAAATTAGAGGTTTTTTTACTCTAGAAACTAAAATGTTATGGCACATATGTTTATACTATGAAATTTGTATAATAAGCAAGTTGTATTCATCTTTTCTCATTTTCTTTAACTGTAAAATGGTACAGAAAATGCATTTCTCCCTTTCATATTTCCCCCCTTTTCCCATCCTCGGCAGGCCAATACTTGAATCTTGACAAAGATCACAACGGCATGCTTAGCAAAGAAGAATTGTCTCGATATGGAACAGGGACATTAACCAACATCTTTTTGGATCGGGTCTTCCAGGAGTGTCTGACCTATGATGGAGAAATGGTATCCCCCTCATAGATAGCAGTAGTATACTGTGTTTCGTGAAGGAATGCTTGTTTTTTAATTGATCTGTCGTTTCTAAGATTGTAACGTAAAATGCATATTAACTAAATAGAATGAAAGAAACATTCACATTTCACTGGCAGCTGAAACCCACACATGGTATTTTTCATAACTGACTTTGCATTCTTAATGAGAAGAAGAAATCTCATTGTGAAGAGAGGACAGTGAGTTCTTCATTATTTCTCTTTTTCTGCCAAAACCAGGAACAGTGAACAATTTATAATCTGAAAGTAACCGGCATTAATACACAAGCATAATGTGTCTAAAGTAGAATATAGAATTTCCTTTTAATATATACTATACTTTTCATTTTCTAGATGGAGTTTTGGACTTGGATTCTTATTAACTCCAGGAGCACATCTTATAGAGAATGATTGTGACATACAACATGCTTTTTAGGACTTTTAAAATTGTATTCACTTTCTGCTAGAAAATTTATTCTAAGCTCATACGAGACTAGAATCTGGTAGAAACTGCAGAATCAATCATTGCCATTAACATTGATTCTTAAATGCTAAAAAAAGTATAGCAAGTTTCCTAATCAGTTTTTAAAAATTGTTCTAACTTAATAACTCTTTACTTTCATCAATGGAATGACAAATAGCAATAGATTAATCTACTATTTCTTTAATTTGAATTCTGAGAAGCTCCCTTGTAGCATTGATAGAAATCTATGTGGATGTTGCTTAGCCAGTTAAGAAAGCCATTTTCTGTTCACTTTTTCCCCCTTCAATGGCCACTTCTATTTCATGCTGACTTTCACTAAAAAGTAACTGCTCTCCTACAAGGAAATAGTCATCAATTATGGTTTGCTTGTAAAATCAATTTTAAAAGAGGACTATAATAAACATGATTGCATCTGCTTTTAGGACTATAAGACGTACTTGGACTTTGTACTTGCATTAGAAAACAGAAAGGAACCTGCAGCTTTGCAGTATATTTTCAAATTGCTTGATATAGAGAACAAAGGATACCTGAATGTCTTTTCCCTTAATTATTTTTTTAGGGTAAGTCCCTTTTTGTAAAGGTAGGTCATTCTTTTGTACATGTGTTGTTGTAACCATTGTGCCTTTGCTTAGAAACCAGCTGGTGATTATTTTAAAGTACCTCTATTTATTACAAGGCTTTTGTCAAAATACAAACATTTAAAATTTTACATTTAAAAAAATCAGAATTATTTTCAGAATATCTTACATTATAGTACTGTATTGCTGTGCTTGTAATTAAATATGAGTTTTTCTAAAAAATTAATAAGCACAACTTCTTTTTTGAGGAAAGAATTTCTAATAACCTCTAATGGTTAACAGAATATTTTTCTAGCTACTGCCATGATAGAAGAGCTTAAATTACTGTCTAATTATATGTTAGCTTTTAGTGTAAATTTAAATTGCCCTGTCTTATTTTACTTGACTGGGAAATAATTCAGATTAATTTTTTTTTTTACAGATGATGCTTATTAATCCCAGCAAAATAAATACTTCACAAATTACACTGATTGAATCAACAGTTTTACAGAGATCTATCAGTGTAAATATTAAGATTGGAAATATCCTAGCCTTCACAAGATCAATATAAATGTTAGTTGACTTAATCTTGTTTATAGGAAACAGAATATTCCTAATTAATAAGCAATCCTTTTGGAAATGGTGATAATTCACCATTAAATTGTTAAATTCACAACATATTAATACATTTTAAGATTCAAGTAATTAAGCAACATTATTTGTAAAATCTATCCCACCCCACCAATCCCCCCCCCCCCCCCCCCCCCCCCCCCCAGCATGTCACCTAATATTGTTCCTTCAATTTGGTGACAACTAAAAAAATACATTATGAATGATCCAAGAATAGGCTAATTCAGTCAAAGATTTTTACTATCACGTCCCCCAAACCCTGGAACCTTTTCAAAGCCTTTATAATAAATGCTCTGCAGGTTTAAACTACATCAGGAACTGTGGGTTTTTAGCAGCATGAAGCAGATTAATTCCTCTGTAATAAATAACACTTTGGCCCTTCATCTTCCAATTATTTTTTTTGCCAGCATACACATAATAGTTAGGCTGAAAATTTGAAGCTAAAAGCTTATTTTAACAATGAGACATGCTGCTCTAAGTTTTTTTTTTTTTTAATGGACTAAGAGTTGGGAATGATTGCAAATAGATTGAGCAGATGGTCAGTCTTTTTTTCTCTTGGTAAAATTGATCACATATTTTATAGTGTAAGACCTGAATGTAACCCATGCTGTTCCTGAAAGGTGTTAGATAAAGCTATCACAGATCCACAGCTTTCCAAATAATTAATACTGGCCAGAATCATTAATTATATGCTTTGAATTCCAAGTTCATTCTGTTGTGTTTTGAGTTAAATCTCTTGGTAGTGGGACATTTAGGTCCCTTAAATATTATGAACAGATTGATATTAGCTTACTATATATATAATATTGTAAAATATTGTGTCGGATGGTCAAGTCAATGTTAATTGTCATCACAATTACTGTAGTATTTTGCACCTGTATATCTTTGCACTTTTGCATCTTTGCAAAATTGCCCAACCATTGCAATTCTAATTAAGCTTACTTCATTATGTACATCCTCATTTTTAAAATGTTATTCATCTCCTTAATTTCTGTCCTTGTAGGCTATTCAAGAACAAATGAAAATCCATGGACAAGATCCAGTTTCTTTTCAAGATGTGAAGGTTAGAATTCTGCTCAAACTGTATTTGTGTGCAATACTTACTGAACTTACTTTTGAAGAACTTCTCTGATAATCAGCAATATGGTTACATACACTGTATACTGGAATATGCATATCTTATTTTTATATAGATTTGATTTTATTGCACAAGCACAAATAATTTTCTTGGGATTCCATTGTGGCTATATTTGTTCGAATTACAATATGTTTTTAAAAAACAGTATGAACTTATACTACTATTTAAGGTAATTATTTATTTAAATTTATTATAGTTTCCCACTCCCATAGATTCTGGGCAGCTTACAAATACAAATGAAAAATAGTGAAAACCATTAAAAATATAACCACATAGGTTAAGGGACCTGGAGCATACCAACTCTGCCAGAAACATACAGGGAAGCAGAAATTACTGGAGAAGGTGGTTCCTCAGATATCCAGGCCTCCTGCCATAAAGGGCTTTGTAGGTAACAACAAGCACCTTGAATTGCACTCAGAAACCAACTGGCAACCAATGCAGTTCACACACCAGTGAGGATAATAAGCATACAAAGAGGTGCCTGTTACTGCTTCCACAGTTTCATTTTGTAACACTTGTAGCTTCTGGATTGTCGTCAAGGGAAGACTCATGTAGAGTGCACTGTAGTAATCCAGTTGAGTGCAGAATAGAACAGTGTAATCACCTCCACATAAAGGCTGAATTACTTTTATTGAGATTAGCTCAATAAGATTTATTGAGATTTGCAAATCTGGTTATGTCGTACCTCTTATCACTTATACTTTTAATGAATTAAGGCATTTACCTAAGAAGCTTTCAACTGTTATCTCAATGGTCTGCAGTTAAAAAATTATCTCGTCACCTTGTAAATGCAGCTTATGTATTTCCATCCACAGCATCCTTATTTATTGCATATTAGTACACATTGTATTTGTGCTATGTAATCTTCTATTGTTCGTAAGAACAAAAAGGTATAAGAAGGGAACATTTAGTTTAAATAAATAACTTTTTTTATGGGCGTATAAGCTTATACCATGAGACTTTTATAGGTAAATTGTTAAATTTTATTTTTTCTAGGATGAAATCTTTGATATGGTAAAACCTAAGGATCCTTACAAGATTTCACTTCAAGATTTAATCAATAGTAGTCAAGGAGACACAGTCACCAGTATTTTAATTGATCTTAATGGCTTTTGGACTTATGAAAACAGAGAAGTTCTTGTGGCCAGTGATAATGACAGTACAACAGATCTTCTTGATACATGATTTAACAGTAATAGATTGTATTATTGGAGATATGCCCAACTGATACAGTGACTGCTTAAGGCTGAATAGCAAATTCACTGCACATTTCACTGAAGAGTCCATCTAACTCCAGATGGACATCTTTTTTAAAAAAAAAATGAAATGAACCTCACTTGAATTTTTTTTAAAAAAATGCTTACTAAGACCTCTTATTAAATGTTAAAAAGAGCTGTTGGTAAATTATTGTTTATTTAAATCATTTCTGAACCTATAGTAGCAAGCCATACTGCATTTAATCAAGTTATATCTTTTAGAAAATTTCTAAAATAGTTCAGTTTTGTACTGTTGAATGATCTTTGTTAAAACAAAATCCAAAATCTGTGTGTAATTAGAAACGTTCAACTTAATTCTGGAAATTAACAAGTAAATAGTACCTCCCAGCTGGCCATATTGATAAAATCAAATAACACTGTCATTTCCATAGAAGACTAATATATTAAGCAGCTATGTGTATAAGTCAGTCTCCCCCAACCAGTTGTCATTCAGAAGCGTTGAACTTAGTTGTAGCAATATGGCTCTTTATCTCTTTAGATCCCATGTTAAAGAATGTTGGTATAAAATTCCAAAATTACAAATCATGGTAAGTTAAAATGCTTGATAATAATCAGGTATATATTGTCATTTTACCTGTATTGGGTGCAGTTTTTTAAACTAGGTTTTGAGCTTATTACATTCTAACTAAAATTTGGTTTCCCTAAGCTTTAAGGATGAGTGACACAATAAATCTAAGACTGGGTAAAGCGCTGTTATGAAATGTAAAATGATGGTGCATAAATAAGCTAGGAGAATGAGTATGGCATGTTTTACAAACACACTGGAAGCCTTGAGTATCTAAATATGTAATAGCAATAAATAGAATTCATTTTTAAAAAAAAGATTTGTCTTGTTAATTTATGCAACTGATTAAATCCTGCTAAACTCAATGCAGATTAATCTTGTAATCAGTTCCTTAGGAAGAACATTATGGCACTGGTTTTGCTCCAAATATTAGATATCTAACATCAATTGTCAGTCCTGTAACAACACCCATGAACTCAATTGTCATTATAATTATATTAAATATACATTTTAATGCATTTACAAGAAAAGAAACATCTCATTTGCAAATTCTGAAAAAATATTAAAAAGTAAGGCACAATGATTAGAAAACCCATAACAAACCCTTCTCTATTCATTATTGTAGGAACATTTCTGACTAGCCAAAATTAGAGCAAGGTAATCAGTTTATTAACTACATTGCCTTAGAGTTTTTTATATCCTGTACAGTGATTTGAATAATTACGTTACACATTTTATAGCCAACAACTGTATCATTTTGTAATCCAAAATGAATGCATATATTGAGAGAAAACTCTCCAAACGTTTTAAAAAATACCAAATAAGCAATTTACTAGATGAGATTTCTCCAGATCACATGACAATGAAGGCAAAAGGATATATTATCTATCTTTGCCATTTTCATGTATTCTGTTAGTACTATATAATGTATTGCAGTTTCTTTTAAATTTCTAAATTTCCAGTTAAATTTATACAAATGTATATGTTTAAGAAGAGACTCAAGGGGCAATGTAAACTACTGAAGTCATTACATCCAAAAAGTGCTTAGGGAGCAGAACAACTTTGCTGAATACATCCCGTTATGCCACATGCACACAATCCATTCAGCTGTGATCTCTATAAATTTCACGTTGCAGATGTTTTATGGATTGTCCTACAGAAAATTTCCATTTACAGTAGATTTTCAGTGTTTCTTAGGATGAAGAACAGGTTTTTAGTTTGAAAATTCACAATTGTCATAATAGGTGGTTCTTCCTGTTAAAAATAAATATTTCTGAGACATTAAATTTTACATGTGATTGACTTCAGTTTTTAAGGTCAAAATAGTGATAGGTACATATATGAAACTATGAACATATAGTACTAATAATTCATCATACTTCACAAACAGCACATTCATTTAAAATTTTGCTCAGTGTTTACATTCAACAATAATTCATCTAATATTGATATAGACTAAGCATCAACTCTTTGGAATAGTGGAATTCTTTTCTATCAGATTTTCTAAAGCCTGAGATTTAATATCAACCAACTGATACTCTAGATCTTTCTTTGTCAGACCTTATCCTTTATCAATTTTTAGATAAATTTTAAGAGCATTATTTACTTTAGCAAATATTAACAAAACCACATGAATTAGATGACTGCTGGACATTCATATAAACATGTGCAGCTGTGCAATTAGACTAAATCACAAAGGTATTTATTTTCCAGTTAGTTTAAAATTTTCACCTAGCTTTCAGTAAGTAACATTATCAAAACAAAAGACTTTTCAACAAAAAGAAGCATAGTTATCAGTCCATAACTATCATGAAGGCACCAGGTGCTCAGGAAAGACCTTTTACTTCTGCATAGAAAGATCAAAATAGAACCCATTTATTTCCATTTTATAATAGGTGAAATAAATATATTGGTCTTTATTAGACAGAGATGGACTGAAGAAACTAATATTAATAACTCTCATGGCCATATTTTAAAATAAATTACATGCCATTAAACATGCAAAAAAGGACCAACAAATGTTTGACAATTCAAGAAATGTTACTATACGTCATTCTAAGCAGACACTACAGCAAAATCTCGTTTACTTTCTACAACAGACTGATCCTCTGCTTCACTTTCAAAGTTGAGATTCATAAATGTACTACAGGCTGTATCCCTTGGCTGGGCTGTCTGAATAGCCATTCCTTCTTGGCTCTGCTTCTGTTGTTCTTGAAACCTCCTTTCTGCTTGCTCTGACAATTTGTTTTCTTCCTCCTCTTCTTCCTCCTAAAAGAAACAATATATTTTACAACATGTTACTTCTCAACAAGCTTTAATCCTATCAAATACTTTAAAATATGCATCATGTTGCAATCTATTGTAAATGCTCTTTCAAAAAATGCCCAGAATTCTAGGTCAGAAAATGTGTCTGAAGCTAGGCTGCTAATTGATGATACAAGATACAGAATTCATATGGGGCCTCACTGAATGAATCTATCTGGTTCAGATCTGTAGGAGAAAATGCATCTGCCATTGAAAAAAACTGTACTTCTGGCACATAGGAAGAAATGCTCCTACTCTAGGAAACATCTTCCTGCAGGAATTCCATTTTACGCCCTCTCCTTCATTGTGCCTTTAACTTTGAAATGTTTTCAGTATTCATTTTATTATAAATGTTAAATTAATATGCATTTTCCTTTTGATTTTAAACTGTTACTAGCTACTCTTGAGTGTTTATCAAAGCAGAAAGGTAGGTACAAATGAAATAAAACAATATTGGAACACTTTCACGGTTCAACCAAAAACATTCCAATATTGAATGAAATGATAATACAACTGTCATGGTTGTTAGCAGAAACACAGACAACATCGAAAGTGTCTCTAAAATAGCATCTGCGCAAACCATTCTGGGTTTAAAATAGCTGTTTATACCTGTTCAATAGCTGTGGGTCATACCCAAACTAAGCATACAACTAAATATTCTAAGCAGAAGTGTTTGGAGGGGAAGTAAGAATAGGAAAAAGCAATGATTACTGAGAATGGGGGGAGAGGTTGAGAAGAAAGGGAAATTATTGCAAAGATGGGTGTTGGGCGAGCCAGTGAGCTCTGCCACACTGAGCATTCCTAGCAACAGCTAAATGGATGGAGGAGAATGAAAAAGGATGGGAGGGGGAGCAGATAAATGGAACATGCTTGCATTTATATCTGCTGCAGGAAAAGAAACCAGCCTTGCCCTACTTGCTCAATATTCCTCCATGATGCCTGGGAATTTTGTTTCATTTCTGTTTTGAAACAAACATCATCTGTGTACGTCCCTACTGTGAAGCAATTAAATTAATAGTTCCATTTACAGAAAAACATTTTGCAATATCTATGCTGTTAAAAGGATTTTTTTAAAAAAGCATACCTCTTTTTTCATTCTGTAGTATTCATCTATGGCATATTGGTATTTTGGTGTACTGATGCCCAAAACAGAGGCTATCTTTTCACCAAGGAAGTCACACACTGAATAAATGAAATAAATGTGTTACGAATGCTCCAGATTAATTCTTGAACATAGTTTCAATCAACACTCAGAGATCACTTTTACAATGAGAGAACTTTTTTAGACAAATACACAAATTCAAACATTTTATGAGCAAATTATAGTCATTCTCACAACATGATAGCCATGGTGGGAATTATTAGCCATAAAATACCACTTTGGCAGAATGTGAGACACTTAATTATCCAGGATACAACTATGTCTTTTTTCAGGGCAGATGGCACATTTCCAAAGGAAACTGGATTGCAGCTACTACTATTTTTGTCTCTTATGAATGTGTATGCTGCTTTTATGATGCCCTGAGGCATTCCCTTAAATTTGGGGAAAATAAACATTTTGTGACTACTGAAATACTTTTAAAAATCTTTTTCACCATCCAAAAAGTGCAGAAAGTTATGTACTAAGATCTCCAGAGTAGGCAAGGGCACACACATTTCAACCCATTTTGGAGAGAGTTGAAAGGAGTGAGATTTTAAGAGGCAACAGGTGTATATTAAGGCTCAGCCACTCAAAAAATAACATGTTAAATCAATGTAAATAATAAAATGAAATAATACAGTGGTTATCAAACACTCTCCACAAGCTCCCTGAAAAATGCAGTTTTTCCTCAGCTTCCAAAATGCAAGAATAAAAAGGTCCAACCTAGGTAGAGGCTATTCCACAGTTCTATAACTGAAAAGTAATATTTTCTGGCCTTCTTTAAAAATAGGGCATCATTGGCAGTTTCTCTCAGAAAACTCGGGCCAAATGTAGTTGGATCAGATGACCCCGAGGACACAGATAAACCTCCAAGTGGCCTCAACAACTCTCAGAAAGAATGCAAATGACTAGCTGTCTGCAACGAGTATAAATCCTTCCATTCCTCACCATTTAGTCAGAGCTGAAGACACTTCTTGGATGAGAAGTGAAACGTCTTCAAAGAAAAACAAAGTCCAGTTGCCTCTTGGAAAAAAGCACCTTTGGGACAACAATGACCTGGGTGACTAAGAATTAAGAAATTCTGACCTTGGGATTTTGTTTTTGAGTATCAGATCTGAATGCAATACACCTCATAAACCTTTTACCCAAAAAGTGGGAATCAGAACTTATTCCTGATCTAGTGCAAATTATCCAATGAACTTTTAGAATAACCTGATTTTACTTCCATCTTTCTCAATTTCAATCAATTAAAGAAGCAAAGCAGAAGGCATATGTATAGGAACTAAAGGGTAAATTTCTCTGAAATGTTTTTTCACACCAATGTACAATTTACTCATGCCAATTTATGATGAACAGTAGGCACTGAAAAGTGCAGACTGAAAGGTTTTTGTTTTATAATCTGCTTCAATTTATTCCATGAAGACAAATCGTATTGAATGCCAATTTTAAACTTCAGTGAACACTGAATAGGCCTGGTGACTAAGGAAATTAGTGTTTTCAGAACTTCCTGAATGTCTTCTCTTGGCTAAAGAACAAAATTTAACAGTGCATGGCATTATTTCATCAATATTATTTCCCTTCCAAGAAACATTGTTCAAGGACATCATTCAATCTCCCATGAATTTATACTACTATTACATTGGCTGACCTATGTCATTGGATTCTTATCAAGTTATTGTCTGTGTATGCACACGGAGACTGAACAAGCTCATACCTGAGAGTGTTGATGTGGCTACTCTTAGCATCTGAAACCACACATAAGGGCCCCATGTTAGTGTTGCCTGCAATGAAGAGTTAAATTGTTTATGCTACAAATTTTAAGAGAATTCCACTGTACTTCTTTCATTAATATCCCATGTTATCCTAGTATTAGCAGTATTCAGATTCCCATCTTAGCATCAATTAAATGCTGACATTTCCTGAATCAAGAAATATGGATCTTAAAAGGAAATCATATTCATATTCAAATCATTCACACTTGATAATGAGCATCAATTTCTACAAGGTGTTCCTGTCTTAATATATTTTGATTTTCTTCTGTTTTCATATGTTTCATACTGTTCTAGAGCAGTATTCCCAAACCTTTCCAAATTGGGAGGAGGGGGAAGAGGGAATGGTTTTGTGCGAGGGGCAGGCTCACACAAGTGGGGCTGAGAGCGCCGGTGTCCGCCGCTCGTGTGAGTTGAGTTGAGTTGCATGCACGCTCATACAGCCCAGTTGTAAATAGGCCACAGCCTGGTAGTGAGCCATGGCCCACAGGTTGGGGACTCCTGTTCCAGAGTGGCGAACCAGAGAAGTTATTCAGAGGTAAGTAGGAGAAAGCTATTACACAACATTCAGCTGTGAATGTTGCCCCATTTATGATTTTTGCCAGAGTTGTTAAATGAATCACTGCAATTATTGAATTAGTAACATGGTTGTTAAGGGAATCTGGCCATCCTACTGACTTTGCTTGTCAGGTCGCAAAAGGTGATCACATGACCCCAGGATACTGCAACCTTCATAAAAATGAGTGGAGGGAAGTCACTCTTACTCCCACTGCTTTATTGCTCACCCTTGGTCATTCTGTTTCTCTGTTTAGGTAAGGAAATATCTCTGAAACAATGACTGAATGGGGCATGAATTGTCTAGTTTGAAATATACTTAGAAACACCCACTGGATCAACAGAAGGCAATAGGTCTTTTTTCTCTTGCTGCTCGTCATCTTCGTCTGTACTATATTCTTCCATGGTTTCACCACTTGCAAAATGGATAACTCTTCTTGGAATTTTCTTCTTTTTTCCCATGACACCAAGTTCCACATTCTCAAAACCTCTGTCTCCATTTGTATTAAGCTGTAATAGATATTACAGTATATATTGAGTCAATTTTTGTCAGCAATGGCATATCATATCATTCATGGCTTGAAGACAGAAAAAGGTTCATTTTTTAAAGTGTAATTTTATTTTTGAAGTTGATTTAATTTTCTAGAGTAAACAACATTGTGTAGGATTTCACATTGCCATAGACTGCTAAATGCCAACCAAAATTACAATTGGTTAATGCACTTTTGAGAATATTTTCAGGGAGTGTTTGTGTACTTCACAATATTACTGTGCATTAAATTATTTTTATTTTGAATTTAATGTTAATCAATTTAGTACTGCTAGAATTATAATTAAACATTTTGGTCAAGGCTACCTAGTAATTTCTGACTAAATTGGAATTCAAATTAGGGATTGTAGAAGTCATAAGATACTTTATTGAAATTTGGCAGTTTAAAATCCAAGCTATGAGAAAAACTATATAAAACTTTCCTTTTATATAAATTATAAGCAAAAGCTGCAATTTTTATATCTGGTACGATCAGAGATTCAAATACTTTGCAATTTCAGAGAGACATTGCTTTCAGCATCAATCCTACTATCTTCAATGTTTTCCCTGGTCTCCAAAATAACGGGTAATTAGAAAACCAGATGTTGCAATTTTAAAAGGGAATTTAAATATATTGGCTGCTGTTAACCAGCATTCTATTAAAAACTGAAAAAGATAAACCATCATAAAGATTATGACAAGAATAAAGGAAGATAGTAAAATTTAAACTATGCTCCCAAAGAGAAAAAATAAAAATGTTGAGGTTAGTTAAACATACTATAGCAATGCAATACTTATTGGATTACACAACACAAATTATCTGGCATCTGAAAACTATGGATAATAGACAAATGCATCCAAAATATATGTAAAGCATGCTTTTTTTAGTTTTAAAAGTCACTTCTAATACATCCATTATATGTACAGCAACTGTTGACACCCCTTTGCCAGGTTTGCGCAATTAGCTGAAAGTCGAAACTGGTCTTCATTTAATAATTGAGCAGGTTGATTTATAACGGATCTGCTTACAGAGTTACAAGAAATCAAAACAGTGAGTGTAAATAATACAATATCAAGGTAGCAGAAAAAATCTGTCCATCTGTGTTACATACATAAGCAATATTTATAAATATATTTATATGAAAAACTGGTACTACTAATGAATTCATTTAACATAGTAAGTGATCACATACAGTACATTAAAGTCTAAGGATTTCTAGATCTTCAGGCTTTGTAAATCAAGATTCAACTATATAATTTGTTTAAGCCTATGCACCTAGCTGCTAGCTAATGGAAAATACATATTTACTACTGGTTCTATTTTAAGGCCTAGTTATTGGCCTTAAACTAGGCCTTAAGTTGTTGGCAAATTAGTACAATCTTGTTCTCTATAGCATAAAATAAAGAAGTTCCAGAATATAAAAAGTTATTTAGATGTTTGAAAATATGGCATTAAAAAAACCTGCCATATTACAATTCTAAGACTATACCACAACATATTGCCAACTTTTTATGAAAAGGTGCATAAGTAACAATCAGAACAACTTTCTATGTATGTTGCAATGTATTAGAAAGCAGACTGTTATTATTAAGCAACACTGCAATAGTAACAATAATAACTTCCCCCAGATTACTCTCCATGATAATCCATACTGATACATTCATATTCATCATGCTGTTCTATTTTGAGATAGGTAATGTTGGTTGGGCACAGCATAGAAAAATGATAAGCAGTAAGCAAAAAAAATGAAGGTGGGATATAAGAGAGAGAGAAAAGTAATTATATCTAGTCATGCCAGCATCATTTCTTGCATCTCTCTATATCTTTCTATAAAAAAACTATCTTTGTTTCTCCTGTATGCATATACTAATTCTGACACTACCTTTTGTTCTTTAAACTTCTTATTTTTCTCTCTGGAAGGCTTCATTAAATCCAACCAATCTTTATTTTAAAGTCTTTCCCTCCCACTCAATCAATTTATTCTTCCTTGATACTTGTCCTGTGACTTGATCTTTGTTTATTCTCTCTGTATGATCAGGCAATTTCAGCACACTTTTGTACCAATCACTTATTTTTTCTTCATTTTACTGTTTCTTATACACACAATATACAGTATATTCACGGTTCCTGAAGGCTGGCTTGAATGAGTGACAACTGGCTTCACCCTGGTAAGACAGAGTGGCTATAGCAGGGGTGGGCAAACTATGGCCCGTGGGCCACATCCGGCCCGTTGGTCTTTTTAATCCGACCCGCCGAAGATTGGGGCGCCCGTTGGAGCACCCAAGCGGGAGCCAGGAAACAACAGATCCGGGTCGGACGACGGCTTGGCGGCTGAGCGGGGCGGCCAACAGCAGAGGGGAACAGAGGACAGTCCACCTGCCGTCCGAAGGGGGAGAGACTCACCAGCTGCCCTTCGAGGAGCTGGTGCGCTCCCAAGGCAACGGGGGAACCCCGCTGGCAACCGCGGAGCAGCGGGCAGGCGCAGGTGACTACGGGTGGGGACAGACTGACGGATGGACGGGGCGACAGGCTCGGGAGCCTCGTGGGGTCTGCCTGCCTTGCTGCCTGCCTGCCTTCCACGCTGGCAAAGGGAGAGTTTGGGGCGTCCGGGCACGGATGTGCGGCGCCTCTCCATCCCTGGAAAGCATCGAGCCCGGGGCGGCGGGCGGCAGGTTCAGCGCTTGCCGGGCGGATTTCTCCCGTATTCAGGACCGGTGCAGTGGTATCTGACATCTGGGGCTCGCGTGTGTGTTTTGGGTCTCCCCCTTTTTGCAAGGGGGGGTGTATTACTCGGTTCTCCCAGGCTGATGACCGACCTCTTGCCTTTATTTATGCCAAAGGGAGTGGGGGGTTGGGGAATGGTCTTGCCATGGCTGGCTGGGGAGCGTGTTTGCAGGGCTGCTCAGGAGGAGATCTGGGGGTGCCCACCTCCCCAAAGTACCCTAGTTATTTCTCGTGTACGTTTGTGTGTGTAGTGACAGCTCCGATGATGTCATATGCCGCTACGACCTCCATTCTCCGCACGTTCGTTTTGTCCCTTCCGTAAAGAATCTTTCGCTGTCAGTCCGGACCGTTGGAGAGAATTGCGCTCGGATTTCCACAATTCCCACCCTTCGTGGACTGGGCTCCGTTTCCAGCCATGAACAGTTTTGCGAGAGCATCCACTTGACCATGCTAACCATGAAAACACGCGGGGTTTACGCCAGGGGTGCTTACTAGGGAGAAAGCCTCTCGATCGCTGTTCAAGGTAGGGTCTGACTGACTTGACGGGGTGGATTTTGCGGTTTCTGCATTGACACCCCCCCAAGCCTTTTCAAAGCATCTCAACTACAGTGCCCATGATCCCCAGCAAGAAGAGTTTGGGATAATGGGATAAAGTTAGGCATGCTTGGAAAGTACCCTAGAGCAAAGGCCTGCTTGACATTCTTATAGGACCTATAAGAAAAAAGGACCTTTTTTCTGTTTATGTTTGATATGTACTGTTAACAAATGCAGTTTTTTATATGTATCGTATCTTGTGCTGACCCGGCCCGTCTGTCAAATTTTAAAAGTCAATGAGGCCCCCGAGCCAAAAAGTTTGCCCACCCCTGGGCTATAGGTATGCAGAGCCTCAGGATCTAGAGGCTTATTACTTTTGGATGGGCTTGCATTACCCCAGACAGATCCTGAGTTCAACTTGGGGACTCTCCTAGATTTATGACTCCTGCTCAAAGAACAGGTGGCAGTCATGATTAGGAGTGCCTTTGTACAACTTCGTGTTGTGTGCCAACAGTGCCCTTTTCTGGATTGTGAGGCCCTGTGTTCAGTCACTAATGCCTTCATCATCTCCTGCTTAGATTATTGTAGCACACTCTTCATGGAGTACTCTTGAAGAGAATTTGAAAACTGCAATTGGTCCAGAATGCTGCGGTGCATACAGTTTTGGAATATCCTAGGGTAGCGCATGTAACATCACTGTTATATGAGTTGCAATGGCTGCCAATCTGCTTCCAAGTGCAATTCAAGGTGCTGGTTATCACCTTTAAAGCCCTCTACAGCATAGGTCCAATATATCTGCAGAAGAAGAACCATCTTTCCCCAATGGGATTGGCCTATCCCATTCATGCTGGCAGAAGGATCCCAACTGAGGATCCCATTAGCCAAGGAATTTTGGTTGGTGGGATCCAAGAGAAGAGCCTTTTCTGCCACACTCCTGCCCTTGGAATATCTTGTCCCAGGAGGTGAAATCCACCCCCTCTTTTTTAGCCTTCAGGAAAAGCCTTAGAACTTGGCTATGCTGGTTTGCATGGAGTCCTGAAGCAGATGTTGTTGGCTGGAGGTGGTTGTGCAGCAATAGAGAAAGCACCACCACATGTCTCTTCCAAACTCTAATAGTTTGATTTTTTTTATAATTTATAGTTTGATTTTTTTTTTACAATTTTAATGTTTTTATACATTTTCTCATCCTCAAGAAATGTTCTACCAAAGTACACAAATTCATCTATTTGTTCTAATCAGTTCCTCAAGGAGAGAGATTCCAGAAAAGAGCAAGAGATGTACATGGGTAATGCTAGTTCTTTCTGGCCAACTCTTCCTCCCCCACCTCCTCTTCTATCTGTTGGATGACAAATTTTGGGAAGCTCCCTAAATTTGTATTATTTTATACAAAATACTTTGATACCTGTGAGGCAATCTATATGGTACTATAACTCTCTTCTATGTAAACTTTAACTGTGTGAAATGGTGTGCAATACAGCAAAACGTTTTGTACCTCAATTGAGTACAAAATGCATCCAAACTCCAAGGCAAATGGCTCCAATGGAATTGAAATTTGGCAAATTATATACAACATTTTATGAATAAAATTATCATAAAGCATTTCCTGTAGTCAGCTCCTGTTGTTTGACAATGCTATACAGTTCAACATACAAGTGAACATATTTTCAAGGCAGATACATATCTGAATATCTCCCTGAATTTTTCTCCCTAATGCAGTGAAAGCAATGCATTAGTAACTCTGCTATTGTTGAAGACACTGAGGAATCTGATAAGAAATGATGACCCAAGAAGTCACAGGTTGTCTGGTCAATTATAAATGTAGGATGCAAAACAGAGGATGCAATTATAATAAACATTTACTACAGCAAACGAACTTCCAAAAATTACAAGATTCCCCCATGGACTGACAAGCAAGATTTCTCACTTGATCACAACATAGAGAAAGTCCTCAACTTATGACCTCAACTGGGCCCAAAATTTCTGTTGCTAAGCAAGGCAGTTGTTACTTGAGCTTCCCTATTTTATGACTTTTTTGCACTCTTGTAAAGTATATCACTGCAGTCATTAAGTGAATCTAGCTTTCCCCCACTGACTTTGTCATAAGTTGGTTGGGAAGGTTACAAATGGTAATCACATAACTCTAGGACAGTGTAACTGTCATAAATACGTGCCAAATGCCTGAATGTGACCATGGGAATGCTGCAACAATCCTGTGAAAACAGATAAACCCCCAAGTGTTTCAATGACCCTCTAAAAGGATGCAAATGACCAGCTGTCTGTAAGCAATAGAAATCCTCCCATTCCTAGCTATTCTGTCAGAGCTGAAGAAGCGTCTTGGATGAGAAGCAAAACGTCTTCAAAGAAAAAACAAGAAAGTCCAATTGCCTCCCGAAAAAAGCACCTTTGGGATAACCATGACCTGTCCTGGATGAATGAGGATCTCTACAGAATCCTGTGAAAACCAACCATGTCACCTTTTTTTCAGCACCACTGTAACTTCTAACAGTCACTAAATGAATGGTGGTGTACTTTCTTACAGAAGAGATTAGTATTGGAAACTGAAAAAAGAACACCTGGAGGCATCAGGATAATTTGGAAGCAGCAGATCTTTCACAAATCAACTGCTAAATATCAAGCACACACACACAGGTTATGTTTAGAAGCTTGGGTTATTTCTTTTTAGGCACCTTCACTTCCTTAAGCATTCCTGACCTGGAACCACAAAACCGCTCCCCAAAAATGCCTGCCTGCCATGCAACGCTGCACAACCATCCTATATACCCGTCTCCTCCCGCCTTGGGTCCTTCTCCAAGCGTGCTGAGCTACAGCTCCCACCAACAGATGACCGGAGCAATAGATACTTCAACATTTAACACATCTGGAAGGCAGAAGATCAATCGGGGCTCATTTTGCCGCGGTCCCAAAGCAGGGAGGATACCGCTCAGACAAGGGACAGAAAAGGTAGCTTCACCTCCCTCGCCCCTCCTCCCAGGAAAGGTTGAGGCGTGGCGGACGAGCCAGGAAGGACCAGGGATCCGGCACGGGTAGAGGGAAATGGAAAGGGACACTCACCTGTTCCTGATCCATGGCGTAAGCAGCGGCGGCGGCGGCGGCGACAGGGGCGCAGTATAAGGAAAGAGCAGAGAGCCCCTGCTCCATAGTCCCCCCCTCCTGTTTCCGTCTGAGAGATCTTCCCCGAGACGATCGCGCCAGGCAGGCCAAGCCCTCCTCCGGGGCGGAGGCCCTGGGAAATGAGCTCACAGAGGCCGTTTCCCCACCCACCCACCCCCCACACTCCCTCCGGTCACACCCCCATCTTGGTGGTTGCTAGGATACCTCGTAGAACTCGCTCTCTCTCTCTCTCTCAGGTGCTCTGGCGACAGGTCGCGTCTGTCGGGCCAGAGGAGGTGGGCCCGCGCCGCTTGGTGACCGAGGGTGAAATCCGGGCCTTCGTTCGGTGAAAGCACGACGAGACACGTGACTGCCCCCCCCCCGTTGGAACGTCGTACTGTAGCTATAAACCAGCTTCAGAAACTTTTCCGACGTTGCACCAAGACACGGTGCAAATATCTCGACATCTTTTCCCTCCCCCTCATTTAAGGCATTAAGAGTTGTTAACCTAATCCTACCTAGCTTTTTCTCAGGTAATAGCACACTACTAACTACTACAGCATACAAAACATTTTGCTAGACCAATACTCGAATACAGCTCATCAGTCTGGAACCCACATTACGTATCTGATATTAACACAGTTGAGAAAGTCCAGAAATATTTCACAAGAAGAGTTCTCCACTCCTCTACTCCATTGCAGAATACCTTATGCCACCAGACTTGAAATTCTAGACCTAGAAAACCTTGAATTACACCGTCTTCGGTCTGATCTAAGTATGGTGTATAAAATCATACATTGCAATGATTTACCTGTCAATGAATACTTCAGCTTCAACCCTAACAACACAAGAGCACACAATAGATACAAACTCAAGGTTAATCACACCAAACTTGATTGCAGGAAATACGACTTCAGCAACAGAGTGGTCAATGTCTGGAATACTCTGCCTGACTCTGTGGTTTCTTCTCCAAACCCCAAAAACTTTCTTAGACTGTCTACTATTGACCTCACCCCTTTCCTAAGAGGTCTGTAGGGGGTGTGCATAAGCGCACCAACGTGCCTACCGTCCCTGTCCTACTGTTTCTTTTTCTTATATGTACCCATTTCATGTATTCATAACTATGTACCTATTATTTTGTGATTGACAAATCAAAATAAATCAAAATAAATAAAATAAAAAGGTTGCCGTCATCTTTCATCAGCCCGCACTTGAGACGGCTTCAACAAATTTTAGAGTGCCAAGCATGACCGCTTCAAGGCTAGTAATGGTCTTAAAGCAAACCCTAAGAAGTGAAATTGCCATTTCCTATTGGCCATTTTAAGTTACTGTGGACACTCCTGGATGCTGTCTTCACTTCTGCAATGGAAGAGTCCACATTTTTTTGAACTCCAGATCTTCTCTGGCATAGATACTAATAACCAGAATTTGTATCTTTCAACTGGCTGCTTGCCATGAAGCCATCGGATGTCTAGACTAGAAGTGAGATGTTACCTAGTGTGGCTAATGAAATCTCTGCAAGTAAACAACCAAGCTCAGAGTGCACCAAGGACGCCTCATGTGTTACAGATTTGGATTTGAAAACCTCTGCTTAAAACTGCTGGATTAAACAATTCTTTCACTATGCAGCATCTCCCAATCTCACTTCTTTCTACTGATCTTTACCAGCTTGCAAAGAATATTTGAATATGTTGGATTTCTAGAAACAAAATAATTAAAAGAATGTTCTATGTTTTGTAATATAAAATCCAGTTAAGTCATACATATTTCCATACTCAAGACACAAACCTTTGGAAATGGGAAAACCAAATGGATACAAATACAGGGCAGTCTGTATATTAACCACAATTTTGTTTCCCTTTAGAAAACGTGGGTACAATATCACATCCAGCCCATATTGAATAGAACAAAGTAGTATGCCTGTTAGCCACATGTGATAAGATGTAAACATACCAATTACATTGTTGGACTTTTGCAATTTGCTAAATCAAATCAATACTATGAATTAGCATTTTGTTAATCCAGCTGGTATTGATTTTGAGGAAAGCCAAACAGCATTCTAAATTTATATCAAAGGATTTAGTCAAAGTTGTGTTCAAATGTTTTTGTTTTCTATATGGATGTGGTATTTTTATTGTGTGTGGATGTAAAGAAGAAGAAAGAATTTGACATAAACACAGCTATCATAATTTACCCTGGAAGTTAAACCTGAAGGTATAATTTATCTGAATACCCCCTGCAACAAATTTATAAAAAGAACATTTGCTGGAGACATTGGCTCTTCCAAATTACCTGATAGCAAACTATCAGGAAATAAAACATATCATTTTATTATTGCTACCCAAACTTACCTCAAAGGAGGTTAAAACTGGGAAGATTGAAATTCATTCTTGAAGCACATGGTCAACAATATATAAACACTTCCTTGCAACAGACTTATTTCTAAAATCTGTTGTAAGCACAAACATCAGCTCTTAAATTTACAACCAGGTAAGTTTATTTTACAATATATTTGTGACAAACTGGTATTGACCAAAGATCTGAATTGTTTACAAATATAACAGTTGCCATTTGAAACAATTAAAAAGTTCCTCTAAATATTAAATTTATACATGATTTACTTTTAAACAGGTCCAAGAAAATATTAAAACTGAAACAATAAACTGAAGTCAAACTAGAACCACTTTCTAGACCTAAAGACTGGAAAGTCTCCAAATTGTATCATGCTCCATTAAAGTTCTTCACAGCAGAAAAGGAGCTCTCATTCTTTTTAGAAATACTCCAGCAAATAATGGTCAATCAAGTCAGTTTATTAAGGCCGCCTTTACATGTTATTGAATCCCATCATGCCTTTTATATTTCCAGCAGCACCCTGTTGAAACTGGCGCATCATTGACTGCAATCCTGCCATGCCACCTGTAATGAAATATTAAACTTAAATGTAGGCACCATTAAAATTTTGGGCTAGCCTTTTATATTTTTTATTTTAACATTCATATAAAAACGGTAGCTTTTGTAAAGAACTAAAAAAACTAGGTCCATGCATCCCAAATTATTTTTCTACTGCTTCTTAAATATCAATCATTCATGTCGCATTCAATATCTCAATTCAAAAACAATTGCAAAGAACATTTAGTGGAACAATGAAGTGCCCATGCAAACTAAAATGCATAAAGGTTTCTAGAGGTTTCAAGAGGTTGATAAACTCTTGTACATTTTTTGAATCCCAGACATTATGATACATAAAATGAAATAGGGGAAAAAAAGAAACCACTTTAAAAAGTAGATATGGTACATATTAAGAAAATAGAGAAAAATAAATGAAACCATAACTGGTGGGGGTGGTGGTGTTTGTATCTAGCTCTCAAATAATCTAGTTGTTATAAGATCTCAAAGTAATGCATAATATCAAGGCAATCTTAGTTTAATTTATTTTCTGAAAAATGTTGATTTTTTTTTTCCATTCCAGCATACTAAAATGTACTGCACCATAAATATAATTTTGTCATTGCAAAATGGCTGAGTTCAGTCTCCGAGACATATAGATGGTAGTCTTTAAATATTTTATTAAACTGTTAGGAAGCAGTACCTTTCCAATCCACTCTTGCAGCAAGAAAATAAAAAATACAATTTACCCATATGATGAAGAACTCTAGGATCCATCATCTTTGCCATCTGTTGGTTCAGTTTTGCCATCTGGGATGGATTTACATTCTTTGACATATCACCTCCTTAAAACAAAGAAAAAGTAGAGAGGAGAGAAGAGAAAAAGAACAGTAATGAAGTATTTCAAATAGCCCAAAGCACACACCCTGCTACGGAGAAGTTTTCTGAAAAGGAGCTCCAGCACAACGTTGAAAGCTCGGATGACTAAACCTCTGATCATGGTGACCAACCCAGACTGGATCCTACAATATTATCCTGGGACATGTATACAGTATTCGCCTTCATTAATATGTTAAATTAATGAAAATTCTCTTAAGCCTCTTCCAATTGATATCTGGCAGCGAAGCATTTTAAACATTCTGTAGGATTAAAATCAGGCTCACGGTCTGAGTGATTGCTAGAGAAAGCAGTTCACACAAGCGATGTACACAAATATTGCAGCATTTCACGTGTTTAATGTCAATAATGATAGTTTTCTGCAGAAATGTCATAAATGTATGAAAATACTTTTCTTTCTGCAACAAATTTGGGCAGATTAGCTGTCCTTGTTATTTCTAGAACTAACTCTACATTTCCACTAAATATGTTAAGAGCTTTTCAAAAGATAACTTATACGTACCAAATTTTAATACAGTTACAAATTATAAATTAATTTCTAGAATTTATGGGCTACATCCATAAATGACTTATGTAGTAAGTCTCTTTTTCCTTTCCATGTGCCTCTCGGTTAACCAATTTTTATTACGGTCATGGACCAGCATTACATGAATCTGCCCTGTGTAGGATACTTCAATCTTTTGGGGTAGATATGTGACAAGTCCTGAGGGACAGTAAGAAGACATTTGTTCCACCACTAAATGCTGCTTTTCAGCAGATGGATAAGTTCTATGAGTCTAGTATTAAGCAACTGAGTCAATCCAGAATGCCCAATACAAGTAGTCCTCTACTTACAACCACAACCAAGCCTAAAATTTCTGTTGCTAAGCAAGACAGTTGTTAAATGAGTTTCGTTCCATTGTATGACCTTTCTTGCCACATTGGTTCAATGAATCACTTCAGTTGTTAAGTTAATAACATGGTTGGTAAGTGAATCTGGCTTCCCCATTGACTGCTGGTCAGAAGGTTGCAAAAGGTGATCACATGATCCTGGGACATTGCAACTGTTATAAATATGAACCAGTTGCTAAGCATCCAAATTTAGATCATGCGGCTGCAATGGTCATAAGTGTGAAAAATGGCCATGTCACTTTTTTCAGTGCTGTAACTTTGAACTCAACAAATGATTGTAAGTCAAGAACTATCTGTATATGCAGGTATAGTAGATATTCAAAATATGCATTGATTCTTACCTTTAAAAAGTCCTTTAATGCCTCCCATCTTTTTTACCATTTGTGCAAATTTTGTGTACTGCGTCAGGAGTTCTTGAACGTCTCTAGTTGAAACACCAGAACCTCTTGCTACTCTTTGGATTCTTCCTGGTTGCTTACTGAAAACTTTGGCTCCATCTGTACTATCTAGTTCTATAATTAAGAGAAGCCATGGATAATAGTGTTAAAAAGTCAAGATGTCAATTTACAGATTTTCTAAAAAATACAAAATTTACAGATTTTCTAAAAAATATAAAATTTCTCTCAAAATTCTGTACCTGATTGGTACTGTTTTATACCTTATATAAGCTATAAACCATTTTTAGAAATGAAGCAAATATTACAGATCAATATAATTAACAAGTTTGTAATTAAATCTGCTGAAGAATCTATATCTTCTGTTTGAAGAAAGTTAAAGCATCGGTTGGGATTTAATTTGTATTAGTGAAGTGCCTAATAATGAAAGATGGGGTATCAGATAAAATTGATACCCTATTCCTTTTCTGCAGAAGCAAGTCTATACACAGGTTGGTTCCCCCCAATAAACGAAGGAAGCCTTCTAAGCCACAGAAGGGAAAATCTGAATCCTGTTCAATGTTTAAATCATAATGAATTGCAAAATGAAAAATATACATGTTTTGGATCTTTCATTATTCTGACAACAGCATAAACAAGTTTCAACCTTTCAGTTATGCCAGAAATATTACCTTGATCATTCATACTGTCCATTATGGTCATCAGTTTTTTTAGCCGTGCCATTGATTCCTGTTCATTGCCTTTACTCATGAAATCTGTTCCAAAACCAGGTATCATACCCTGTAATAATTTCAAAAAAAGTGTTAAAAGTCACTTCAAAGTGAATATTAATGCATTGTGGTTTTTAGGTAACTAATCTTATTATAGTTACCAATATTTGACTGAAGGGCCCCATTTTCATGATGTTTTGGAACTGTTCATACATATCCCTCAATGTGAATTGACCTGAATGGTTAAAACATTAAATTGTAATTATTAAACTTGTACATTGTAAATCAGATGGTTCATCCCATCTTTCAAAACAAAATGGACAAGAGAATTAAACTGCCAAACACTGCTATATTATCAAAGTTTGGGGCATCGCTTACCATGTTTTAGTTTCTCAATGAGAGCCTCATTGTCATCTAATTTCAACTCATTGACTTTATCTATCAATCCTTCAATATCTCCCATGCCTGTAATATAAAATATATTTCTTTAACAACTGAAGCGAGCCAGTACAACTCAGAAAAAAAAAATTAAATTTAGCAATTAATTTTTTTCAGTGAGCAATACATACCAAGAAGTTTACTGATAAAAGGCTGCGTTTTAAAAGGTTCAAAATCATCTATATGTTCGCCAGTTCCAATAAAAATGATTGGACTTTTAGTTGCAGCAACTCTGTAGTGAAACACAGGTTTATACTTTTGTATCTTGTCCTCAAAAGGAAACATTTAAGAAAGGAATAGCATATACCTCTTGTGCATTAAGCTTTTGAAATTTGAAGTATTTGCTCAACCCTGATAGTTTAAAAACTCAGTTTTTCCTCCCTCTATCAACAAAATACAGCAAGCGGTGAAGAGACAATAATTCTTCGTGCTTCAGTTTCCTGAAAAAAGCAAAGCTAAAAGAGCTGAAAACTCTTATCATATGCAAGATCAACTCTGTCTTTTCAGAACTCTTTATTTTATGCAGCTGTTTATAAGCATCACAATGTTGCTGGGCCCATTATTAAGTAAAAACTACTTACGCACTCAATGCTCCACCTCCCTTGGCATGGCCATCAAGTTTTGTCACAATTACAGAAGCAACATCAACTTTATCTTTGAAAGCCTTTGCTTGAGCTTCACAGGCTTGACCAATAGAGGCATCCATCACATATACTATATTATCTGGTTGCTGGAAGCAATGACACAAACAAAGGGAAACAGAAATTAGGAGCTCTTATCCTTGCTCCACTTCAAAGTTGTAATAAACTGTAGGGCATGTTAAACATCTAACAGTGGTATACTCGTTTCATTCAGAGAAATGACAATGATTTGCGTCATGAAAATGCACATTTGTTCTAAATTTCAATGATTTCAATGTAATGATCAAATCTCAAGCAAATCTCATTTGGGAAGCACTTTCCATGTAGTAAATAAATCCAATATTCAATCCTTTGTGTCTTCAGGTGTGGGGAGAGGAACTCCTTGCCTCCATCCTGGAGAGCTACTGCCAGTTGTTGTAGGTGATTTGACCTAAATAAAACATTTATCTAATTCAAATTTTGGTTCTATTTTTAATTTTTAGAAACATGGAAATCCTACTTCGTGTTTGTATGTTCATAGTACATTTTACTCTACAGGCAGTTCTTGCTTATAGACCTTGGCTGTCAAACTTGTGGCCCATAGTCCAGATGTGTCACTCTCTGGCTATGCCCATGCCCGGTTTAGCGAAGGGGGGAAAAGTCATGATACATCATGTGATGCCGCCATGAGTTTGACACCACTGTTACAGACAAATCACTTAGTGACTGTTCAAAATTACAATGGATCTCAAAAAGGTATTACAACCCAGATTCAAAGTTCTAATGTCTACTGTCCTCTCACAGTTACATGATCGCATTTTGGACACTCAGCAACAATTTGTGGCTGTTTGCATCATCCTGCAGTCAGGTGACTACAATTTACAACATTTTTTTTTTTTTGCCAGAAACTGGTGATTACTTCTGGTAAACACCAATTTGTGAACAATGGGTTTGCTTAACCACCATGGCATTCACTTAATGACCACTGCAACAACATGCCACAAAATTGGGATGGTTACACAATGACCCACTTAATGATCACCTTCCCCCTGCAATTTCAGGCTCAATTGCAGTGATAAGTCAAGTACTATATACATTAGCAGTCTTCATACATTTATAGTAGCATCAGTATAACGAGTTCTGTGTTAGCCTTTGAAGAGTGGCCATTTTGAATGAGTTAGTTTCTTTACAACTGTTCCAAATTCAAATAGAAATGAAATGTTGTTAATCCTTTGCACCCATTTTGTAGTCCCACTGAATGCAGACGATGAGTTGGGTAGCATATATATTTAGTCATTAATTAGTTGGATATGCTTATAAACAAAATGCATTATATGCATATTTTACATCTGATATATACTAAAGATCTTAGTATATAATCTTAGAACAGGAAATGATTCTATAATTTCCTGATAAAAGAATAATTGAAAATACATTTCCAGTTCAATGGCCTGTTGGCCATATCCAAATGGACTTTCATTCGTGTATCAAGATTTCTTTTCTCCATTCCACACCATC